CTGTCTCTCTGCCACGTGCCTCTCCCCTACGTTCCTAATTTGGGTCTCTTCTCCTTTTGCCTGACCCATGAGGTACTAAGTGCCCTCAGCTCCCATTTCCACCACCTTCTCCTCCTCCTCTTCTTCCTTGTCGTCATTTTTACTTAAATGGGTGCCAAGGCTCCTCAGCTGCTTCTGGGCCGGGGTCCTTCCTGCGGAAATCCCTGTTGTGCTGAGCTGGTTTGTGCTCTTGTGATCTGTGCAGGCTGTAGAGAGGAATTTGCTTGGCTCATTTGCGTTTCACTTTATAGCTCACCACAAGGAACACCAAGGAACAGGCAGCTGTGAAACTCAACGGGGCAATAGAGCAGTTCTGTTCACAGGCAGCTGAAGATTTGCTAGCAACAGCAGAGTTTAAAGGTGGTCCTGGCCTGGTTTTCCTGAGCAATGAGGAGAACTATGCTAGCCAGACTCTGCTATAGACTGTCTTTCCTACCTCATAGGAGGGAGTCTGTAGCAGGTGTGTCCTTGTCCTCTTTGGTTGTGGAAACATGCCAGACACAAGTTTTGACTGATTCAGGAGATGTGTGGAGAGATCCCTGGGTATTAAACCAAGTTTAATGGAACTTGCACACAGTCTGAAATCATGGGAGAGGCAGCCTTCTCAAAGAGCCTGCCCCAGCCTTCGGTAACACGCTCGGACTGACAGCTTGTGTTGTGGCCTAGTTCACTCGGAGCAGTTGCCCTCGGGGGGGGGGCACATCATCTGCAGATTTTGTTCTCTTCCTGGATGTTCCATTTTCCAGGTCATTGATCAATAAATCAGACCTAAAGCCAGTCAATGTGACCCTCTGCTTGTCACCACCCTGCTCCGGGCTGAAGTGTCTCACTCACTAGCACCCTTTGTCTTCGTTCTCCAGGCCAGCACTCTGTCTGCTCCAGCTGCCCTTTCCCCACGCTGGAGGGCAGCTGTCTGCACACTCCAGTATTGCAAGCTTGCTCAAAGCTAGGTAGATTATGTTTTCTGCCTGCCCTTGGCCCTGTTATTTCCTCCTGTGGTGTTAGGCCTGATCTTCCTGTCTTGCTCAGCAGCACCAAGTGTTTTTTTCAGGTCTCATTCTTTTATTTGTTTATCCCAATAGCACTTTAAATAACAACGTGAAAAGCACTTTAACCTTGAATTTTTATGATTATATAATCTACAGGGATGGCACTTACCACCTAACCTTGAATTTCTCATGCACCTTCCTCCCAGCTTCCTCTCCATTGAGTACACACTGTTCTGTTTGGAGACGTTCCAGCCTGGGGGGAGTCGGAGTTCTTCCAATCCAGAGTTCAAGGGTGGGGGGAGCATGTGTTCAAGTGTGGGATGGAGGAAGGGACAGGCAGCAGAAGCTATTATATCAGCCTTCAGCAGGTACCACGGCTCACTCACAAAGGGCAGTCGTCCATCTGGCTGTTGCTTCCAAAGAGTACTTGCCTGAGGTCGCTGACGGTCCTAACCAGCCATATGCCGTGTGCCGTGGAGACAACAAACAAGAATGCAGTTGGCTTGTGCTTTGAAACATCTGTTGACTTGCATTCATCTTGCCAGACTGCTGTGAGTTAGTAATTGTGAGCCTCAACTCAACTGATAATGGAGGAAACTCTAACTGGGGCCTGCTGGTACCACCCCCTCGTATAGCTTCTCGTGTAAATATTCGGAACGCCCAGGCCCACTCTGAGTGCTAGCACCCAACTCTCTCTCGCTCCCTGCCCTCCCCAAACGTAGCCACTGCTTCTAGGTTATGAATACCCACCATTGTAAGGTGCAGGGCAAAAACCCAACCTGGTCAGAGAGCCTTGGCCTTATTAATCATGGGAGAGATCATCAGAAGGCCCATTTCAGCAGTTTCCTTAGTGAAAGGCCATTGCAGTTGGCTGGGCTCAGCTGTGCTGCATAGGAAACCTAACATTTCAGAACTGGTTTCCTCCTGAGCCTGGGAAGGGAATGTTTGTTGAAAGAAACCTCTCACGCTGCAAAATTCTTCCAGCTTGGAAATTCTTGCGGTGTGGGTGGGAACGACGTAGATTGTGGCTGCCTGGCAGTGACTTGGCCAGCCTGACAGGAAGGGGCGGGCCTTCCGGAAAAAGACTCCTCAAAAACCTCTTGGCTAAGTGTAGAGCCTGGGGCTGCTGAAGTAACAGCGACTCGGCACAACTAGCCTTGTTAACTTCAGACACAGTGCAGCCACGATGTGGGAACTGCTGGTTACCGACTACACTATGCAAGGGATCTTCAGATATTTCTACCAGAGCTGCACCTATCGGAGCCAGGCAGATTCAAGGGGGAAACACACACACGCCGGCAACACCACGCTGTGGACTCATGTCCGTAACAAAGTACGCAGAGAAAAGGTGGGCTTGACTCTCTCGCCTCCTCTTCTTATCTGGGGTCTCTGAAACATAGGAGAAGGAGAAGCTTTTCTCTCTAGGCTTTCACATGTGTAACTGACAGCAGCATCTTGCCCTGTGTGTTGATAGTTGGAAGTGGGGATTAGGGTTTAGGAAAAGGAGAGGCTGAACATACTCGGTAGAGTCAAGGATACTGTGGGTTGCATCACCCCTGCTTGTCGAGCATTCATCCTCCACTGTGCAGTGAGATGCCAGTGCTGTTATATTGGGGGGGAAGGGCAGGGCTGATGGGGTATCAGATTAGTGTTAGTTACTAAATTCCTTTTCATTTGTGCATGAAGGTGTATTTGAACCTGTGCGTCTCAAGGGGAAAGGTTAGTGCACTCGCCCGCCCTTTGCCTTGCATTTTTCAGGGAATAGACTTTGGTATTGCAAAGCCATGTCGGGAATCACAGATTCGTTTTGTCAGGTTCTAATTGCTGGCATAGCTCCATGTTCAAACTGTTGTTCCTTTTCTGTAAGTTCGGTCTGAGCCAGTTGTGGCTCTTTGGAGGTGAGTGTTTCACAGATATCACCGACCTTGCTGGGGGATGTTCCTATAGAACCCGACAAGCTATTTCCCAGCCTCAGAACTTCCCTGTTGAAAGAAATCAAGCTAGGTTAGAGATGGAGACCCAGGATTTCATTTCCGAGCATGGTTTTGATCAGTGGATTCTCGTAACAACAGGGGTCTCTCTTTCAGTTTCAGGTGCGTTTTCTCCCTTTGTGTTGGCGCTGAAGTGAAAAAGAATAGGGCGGACCAGAGTAAGACACTATATCTACCTCCTCCTGTGATCTCTGGGCTGCTTTCCCACTCAGCTCTTCTCTTGCTTCATTCCCAAATCAGAGCAGGATTTAAAAAAAGTGGGAATTTCTTTCTGAGCATTGTGTGTGCTTAATTGCTTTGGATTGCATGTATAAGTCCTCCTGGATCACCCCATGTTCCTCCTCCATTCTCTCACTGTCAGACCCAGCATTGGGCCATCATGTCTTTGGAGCCTAGGAGAACTGGATGTAGCTCCTTTTGGAAACTGTCCCAAAGCTCCAGTGCTGGGGAAGCTTGACCGCGATGCTGGCGAAGCGCTCTCTCAAGCCCCGCTCCTCACTTCATCCTGGGGCTGAGTATCATGGTTCCACGGTACTCCAGGCCGGCCTGTCTCTGGGAAATTGTGACCCAAATTCCCCTCTCGGCCAGATTGTAGCATTTGGCCTCCTGCTTGCATTTGAGGCAGTGTGGGAGCCATAGCGCCTGGGGGTAGCTCTTGGAGGGAATGTGCTTCAGGCAGCACGATCTTTGCCACATGTCCTCTGCATGTAGACTGCATCATCTGTTTGGACGGGGTAGCAGACTTCTCTCTCCACTCCCAGAAAGCTCTGTGGGCTGGTACAGAGGGGGAAACAGCAGAGTGCAAGAGCTGAAGACAATCTGACTGTAAGGTGGATGACCTTAGTAACCCCCAAAATCAGAGACTTATAAATAAATAAGAAGACCCTACAGCATGGGGGAAGGAGAGCGCTTGATACGGAGTACTTGTTTTCACTTTAATACACGTGTAAGGTACTCTGCAACTGTGGTGATGGGTGTGTTGTGAGACCCTTGATGGATCAGATAGAAAGATTCTAAGTGATAGAGGCAAGACGATTATTATTGAAGATGTAATAAGTTACTAATCATCAGCAATTTCTGATTGTTGGAGCAGATGTTTATGAATGTCTATTCAGCGTCCTTGGTAGCTGTTTCACTTGCAGGAGTTGAACAAAAGAGCTAGAAAAATTCGGATGTCCAGTTGGATGGAGGGGATGTAAAAGGCTGTAAATAGCTCAGTATTTAAACCTTATGTACCCTGGGCCTGTGAAACTGCACCCACAGAAAAGGTTTCCAAAGCTAAAATAAGAAGACAGACGCACACTCTCTCTCTCTCTCTCTCTCTGGAACAGGAAGGAATTAGGAATCAATTCCCTAATTCCTGTTCTTAATCTTGTTGTTCATGACCTTTGGAAATAAATGTTAAAATACTCTTGGAAGTGTATTATTATGGACCAAGCTGGTGCCAGCGTTTGGACTTGGGACCTGAGTTTGGGTTTGGGACCTGCAGCTTGCTCACCTGTTTTTTTCAGAGAGAAACAAGCCCTCGCTGTTTCAGATCTTAGCCCTTTCCTCTTAGAAAATCTACTCTCTCCCTTCCTGACTCCCAATTCTCTGGGGTGGGATGATCCTCTGCTGCCTATTAAATATGGCTGCTATGTTATGGCAGTGAAGGAAGCTTCCTTTTCTATCAAAGGAGAGATTATTGGCTTTAGAAGAGCATTTTAGCTCTCTGAGGTTTTTCTTGTTGTTAAGTGGATATTGCACATTTGACACTGGGGTTTCCATAGACGCATGTGTGATCCATATCCAGCCTTGCTTAGAGTGCAGAACTCTGTACGAGTGACCCGACATCTGAAACTCAGGGCTTTTCGGATTCCCCTGTGGAAATGGAAGTAAGTGGTGAAGGCACTGCCATGCAGACTTGTATAGATTTTTCAAACTGGCTGATTTAGTCTCTGAAACCAATTCTCAACTCACAAGCAACTTCCATGTTTTTCAGCTGGATCCTCAGGTGTTACAGGATAAAGACTGGCAACGCACAGTCATCTCAATGAATGGAGTAAGTAGAGTACAAACTGCTAGCACTGCTTCTTTGCCTGACCTTGTGTATCAGGTTTATTCTCTCTGTTCTTTGTCATAACATTTTGAAAAACAAAAGAAAACATTTATTGCTTGAAAAGTAACCACTAATGTCCTCCTTGCAGGTTGAAGTGAAGCTGTCAGTGAAATTTACCAGCCGGGAGTTTAGTCTGAAAAGAATGCCATCTCGTAAACAGACCGGGGTCTTTGGAGTCAAGATTGCCATTGTCACCAAGTAAGTTGTCAGGTCACACTTTTCTCCGTTGTTTTATTTTAAACACAGTAGGCCAGTGGAGCTGCACCTACTTAAGCCCTCAGTGAATGGAGGTATGCAGATACTTTCTTGCCCTTGTGTGGCTAACACATGGCAATTTCTGCAGGCAAGAGCTGTTTCACATTCTCCCAGCTTCATCCTGTGCATGGGAAAAACCCTCCAAAACACAGCAGCGCGCACAAACTCTTTCTTGGAAACCCAGTGTGTTTACTTTCAACATCTCTCACTCTGCTGTGTTCCGGAAACACCCTGGCCCTTTTCCTCTGTAGTTGGCTGACTTGGTCACGAATTTCCAAAGCTACTGAACGACAGTATTTCCTTTCCATACTCGGAAATGTTCAAGCTCTTTGGAGCCGTTTGTATTATTTTAACCCCTGATCTTTTGTCATGAATCGTTTGCCAGAAGAAACCTGTTTGTTCGTGTTAGGTAATTTAGGAGACCTGGTACTTCCTCCCCATGGAATTGCTATTAACTGGATAGCCGTATGACTGCTAGTTCTCCAAGGGCTGCATAGGAATCCTCTAATCACCTGCTAGCGTTGCAAGCTCACCATACTTACTTCTCTTCTACTTCACACATACAGAATGGGAAGAGACTGTCTAGGAAGGAGTGCGGCAGAAAGGGATCTAGGGGTTATAGTGGACCACAAGCTAAATATGAGTCAACAGTGTGATGCTGTTGCAAAAAAAGCAAACATGATTCTGGGATGTATTAACAGGTGTCTTGTGAGAAGTCATTCTTCCGCTTTACTCTGCGCTGGTTAGGCCTCAACTGGTGTATTGTGTCCAGTTCTGGGCACCGCATTTCAAGAAAGATGTGGAGAAATTGGAGAGGGTCCAGAGAAGAGCAACAAGAATGATTAAAGGTCTTGAGAACATGACCTATGAAGGAAGGCTGAAAGAATTGGGTTTGTTTAGTTTGGAAAAGAGAAGACTGAGGGGGACATGATAGCAGTTTTCAGGTATCTAAAAGGGTGTCATAAGGAGGAGGGAGAAAACTTGTTCACCTTAGCCTCTAAGGATAGAACAAGAAGCAATGGGCTTAAACTGCAGCAAGGGAGGTTTAGGTTGGACATTAGGAAAAAGTTCCTGTCAGGGTGGTTAAACACTGGAATAAATTGCCTAGGGAGGTTGTGGAATCTCCATCTCTGGAGATATTTAAGAGTAGGTTAGATAAATGTCTATCAGGGATGGTCTAGACAGTATTTGGTCCTGCCATGAGGGCAGGGGACTGGACTCAGTGACCTCTCGAGGTCCCTTCCAGTCCTAGAATCTATGAATCTATAAGGCTGCAGCTCCTCAATGGGAGAGGTTTCATGGGATTGAATGTGCAGAGATGAGCCAGTTCATAACCTCTCTACAAAAACAGAAATTAAATCAGCTCCTCAGGAAAAACAAACAAACAAGCTCTCTATGGACAGTTTTCATATGACCATGAGAATCCAGCTATTGTGTGATGTATATGAGTCTTGCTATTGCTGAAAGGGGGAATTAGCTGCTAAATTTTCCTAAACTAGGAACACAGAGTGAATTCACCCCCTGTGAAAAGGACCAGCTTAGGGTCTACACAATGTGGATAAAGTAGGACTTGTACAGTGCATGGGCCTTTTGCTGGCCCAGAGCATAGATGTGAGTGTTACTATTTGAGAGTAGTCTCGCTATAGAGGACACCAGCTCTGACTATTCTTGACTTTAAACCCTTGAGACTGGAATAATTTGCTCATAATAACCAGTATCCTCTGCCATTTTTATACCAGGCCAGAGCTCTCAAAATGGAGGGTTTTTTACAGAACTTCCTAAATGGATATTCTTCCTCTCTAACAGTGTTGGGCTATAGAAAGATGCTGGTTCAATGTCAGTATTTTCGTGAATCTATTTGCTGATTTGGTCAAGTAAACCCTCTAACATGGAGCAAGATTCTTCTTCGAGTGCCTGCTCTTGTCCATTCCGTATTAGGTGTGTGTGCTCTCCACATGTGCCGGTGCTGGAATTTTTTCCCTCAGCAGTATCCGTAGGGGACCAGCTCTGGTGCCCCCTGGAGTGGCACCCATATGGTGCAGTATAAGGGGCGCTGCCAGCTCCCCGCATCCTTAGTTCCTTCTTGCTGTCAGTGACTGTGCTGGAACTTCTGCTGCTTCGGCTAGCGTTGTTTTGTTCTCAGTCCTTGCGACTTTGAAAAGCTGTAATATAGTTGTATATAGTTAGTAGTTCCTTAGTTACCCTTAGTAGTAGTTCTCAACTCTTCGTTAGTCCCAACAATCTTGCTCGGACAGGTCGGCTTCGGGATGCAGCAACCAGCATGGGTTGGACAAGAGCCACTGCTCAGCCCGATCCTAGTGGCCTGGTACTGACCGCTCTGCTGGTAGCTCCGGCTTGGAGCGAGGTTCCCTGACTGCGGGATAAGCCCTGGTACCGGCGGTGCCGACTATATTATCAGTACCGAAACCTGCCCCATGGCCCCAAGCGCAGTGGCAGCATCCCTTATACTATGCCATGCGGGCACCACTCCAGGGGTTGCCAGAGCCAGTCCCCTACAGATACTGCTGAGGGGAAAACTTCCAGCACCGGTGCATGTGGTGAGCGCACACACCTAATACGGAATGGACATGAGCAACACATCTCGAAGAGCACCAGTTACGGAAAAGGTAACTGTCTTTTTCATCCTTACCGCTGTGCTAGTCTGCATCTCCTAAACACTTAAGTGACTAGTGATTTTGGGTGTCTCCATTTTTGGGTGCCCAATTTGAGACACTTTTAAAGGGGCGGATTTTCACAGGGTGAGTGCTCACTCAGTCCTTTGTGAAAATCGTGGCCTAGAGCTCCTTTCCCTCAAGCAGTCTCATCTTATCCAGTGCCTAATGTAACTCTGGTAACCGTATTTTCTCGGCCTATGCTGTACTGAACTCTTCTTCCTGTTTTTCTCAAGGAGAGAGAGATCAAAGGTGCCTTACATTGTGCGCCAGTGCGTGGAGGAGATAGAGCGACGTGGGATGGAGGAGGTGGGCATCTACCGTGTCTCTGGGGTTGCAACTGATATCCAAGCTTTGAAAGCTGCTTTTGATGTCAGTAAGTATTTGTTCCTGAGGTTTTCCTTTGCATTATCTCCTGAGTTATGATCGCCTTTCAGGTTACTGTGCTATTTTAATCTCATGTAGCCCAGGAAGCATGAAGAGGTGGAGACCCTGGTGTAAGGAGTATCCTCTTACCCGGGCTGTGTGTTTTATTAGTGTCCTCCAGTTGTAGATGTTAACCTGAGGTATTCAGTGGAATGGACCCTTGTATTGAGAAATGTGCTGATTATTCTTCCCAGCAGCCCTGAAATGGCGGTTTTGCATTCCTTGCCTGGCCTTGCCATGCCATGGTAAACGGCAGACACTTTCCTCAGGGGAAATAGGAGCAACCAGCAGTCTTCTTTTCCACAATGTCAATGAGAATTCTGGATTAACAGGAAGTCCCCGCGGTTGTTTGAGACTCTTGTTTAAAAGAGCACCGGCAACATCAAAATCATTTAAGAAATTTTTTTTAAAGGATTGGATAGAGAAGCAGAAAATTCTGGTTATTGGAATGTGACTGGGAGTCTGGTCTCCTGAGTTCTCTTCCCAATGCTTCCCATTAGTGCTTTGTGTGACCTCAGGCAAGCAAAGCTTTCTGTTTTTCAGTGTGCCCATCTGTAAAATGGGATGATAATGGTACTTGCTGAGCTCTGTAAAGCATTTTGAGACTCTTGGATGCAAAAGGGGCCCATGTTGTTGCTTCACTTTAAAGAATGTCCTCACCTGCGTTCTGGGTTTCCAACACCATGGGGGAGGAAGGATTGATATACATTTTAAAAAATGCTATTTTTGTGTAAATGCAAACACATTTTATATGAGGCTGTTTTTGGTGAGTGGAGGTGTTTAACAAAATTTACATTTCTGACCTAAATTGCTTGATTTTGTCTCTTGAACTCTGCTTAATTGGGAGAGGCTGAGGGGTGCTTCTGATTGTACTAGAGTTCCAGATGGGGAAGTGGCTGTTGTTAGTTATTATACAACATATTATTAGGAAACTGAAAAGCATGTAATTGACACTGGCTCAGCCTCATATGGGGCTTGATCTGGGTCTCATTGAAGACTTTTGGAAAGACTCCCATTGACTTCACTGTGTGTTGGATCCAGCCCATGACACTGGTACAGCAGAAGTCATTCTAGGTAAAGCTGAGTTTGTTTCCTTGCGCCCTTCTCCCATCCCCAGCAGATGTAAAGCTAGATGTCATCCTGGCTGTACTGGGGTCGAGCTGCAAAGTGGTCACATTATAGCTACTCTGATCTATTAAGCGGCACTGAGATAATATAAATGGAGAACTCAGCAACCAACCTGAGCAAAGTGACTACAGGTGATGAGCGTGAGCTATTTGGGTAGGGTGAGAAGATAAATAAAGGATAAACAGGGGGAACCAAGAAAGAGAACAAGAATAAGGAATGACTGAAGGACCACCCAGCTTCAGTACCTGTATGTCTCCCTGCTTTCTCTTACAGACAACAAAGATGTGTCCGTGATGATGAGCGAGATGGATGTTAATGCCATTGCAGGGACATTAAAATTATACTTCAGAGAACTGCCTGAACCCCTCTTCACAGACGAACTGTACCCCAACTTTGCTGAGGGCATTGGTGTGTAATAGAAGAAATCATTGATACCTATCGTGCTAAGTGTTACAATGCTCTTCTCTGAGGCTGCTCCTGAGGCCTTAGGAAGGGGTTTACTCATTATGAAAAATATTTATAATATTAGAAGGAAACCCTGTGACAGACTGTAGAGAAGGGAGGCCGGGGCTATTTCTTTGGCTCATGAGTTGCTCAGAAGAGAATTCGAATCCTGCCTTACTGTGCAGGTTTTAGTGTGGGCAGTGGCTTCACTTACCTGCAAGAATGGAAAAGTTCAAGTTCTAGGATAAACATTACCTACCTATTAAAAGAAGAGAAATCCTATTTGTTTAGGCCCTGAAATGGTATCTGTCCTATTCACTCTCCAAAGGAGATAAATCTGCTTTGGGATGGGCTCTCCTGTGTTGACCCAGAAGGGAGGCATCTTAGGCCATGTCTACACTTACCAACGTCCACGTTGCTGCGATCGATGCAGCGGGGTCAATTTAGCGGGTCTAGTGAAGACCCGCTAAATCGACCGCAGAGCACTCTCCGGTCGACTCCGGTACTCCACCGGAACAAGAAGAGTAAGGTAAATTGACAGGAGAGCATCTCCCGTCGACACAGTGTGGTGTAGACAACGCAGTAAGTTGATCTAAGCTATGTCGACTCCAGCTACGTTATTCACATAGCTGGAGTAGCGTAACTTAGGTCATCTTACCCTGGTAGTGTAGACAAGGCCTAAGTGTTCTGAGTCTGGAATGCACTTGTGGTCTCTTGCACAGAGGAAAGGATTCTCCATCACCTGTCTAATAGGGGAGAACTGAATTCAGAGGGGGCGTGAGGCTGTGCCTGGATTGAATTCTGAGCCTCGTGTCTCCATAATGCAATTGCAGCACATTAAGCGTCACCCATATTTTCTCATTTCTTACACCATCAGTAAAGCTCTCATTCCCTTTATTTTTTTTCTCTCCTCCCATAGCACTTTCAGACCCTGTTGCAAAGGAAAGCTGCATGCTGAACTTACTGCTCTCGCTTCCAGAACCCAGCCTCGTGACATTCCTTTTCCTTCTGGACCATTTAAAAAGGTAACACACAGACCCTTTAGACAGGTGCATTTTGTGTGTAAATCAATTCCAAGTGCTGTGGAGAGAGATGCCCCTTTCTTGGAGATGTGTTGTGTCACTCAAAGAGCACCTTCACTGATTTTCATTTTCATTTTCTCTGTATTGAGTAATGCAGGTAAAATAGGCCTGGTAAAGTGCTACGTCCTGTTTTCCATGCTCACTGTTACTGAAGCCATTACCAATTGTTCCCAAGAAAGGGATGAGAAAGATCTTTACAGTGAAAATGTGATCTGCAACACACACACACACACACACACACACACACACACACACACACACACA